ATTAGAATAACCAGTGTTCTCCCATAATTTTAGAATACCTTTTAATAAATACAAATGAGGAGAAGAGTATACCCAAATTTCAGTAGTGAGTGCTCTAATATCTGAAACATGTGATCACTATGATGCTTTTTCATCTAACCCTGTTCTAACCTGAATTAAAAATCAGTGACAAAATAACTGCCCAACTCTGACCACTCATTATTTTCCACTGTGTAACACAGATCAGTGCTGTTTGAAGAGTCTCTGTATAAGAAGGGAAGATCAGTACATACAGAAAATGCAAAGAAACACCTAAAGCATTTTGTCCTCAGTGGATGAAGAATCCCCAGTGGATGCAGTTCCCCAGTGACAAGGAAAGTAGCTGCATGGTCCACAACGCATTTTAGAGTATATCAAACCAAGAAGCAATGGAAGTTCCAGCACTCTCCTAGGCACAATATTTCAGCTTTTCACCAGTGCTACTCCTGCATATATCAAAAGAAGTCCCGTGACACCTTCTGCTTACCTCAGTGGCCAATTTTCCAGCATACTTCTGGACTCTCTCAAGCAATGCATTTAACACTATTTTTCCATTCTCTGTGCTTTCTCCCAGATCCTCCTGTATTGTTTTGTTTTTTCTTTGTCTGTATTATTTACACTTCCTAAACTAAGTTGGTAATTCAACTACAGTTTCATACAGAAAAAAATTATTAATTGCAGCCTATTTGAAACGAAGATTTTGATCCTGCAGTCACTTAAGTCAAAGGCAACAAGGGCTTTCTGTTCAGTGGGAATAGAACAAACCCAGTTCCTGATCAGTGTGTTTTTAATCAGGGAGCCTTCACATTTAAAAAGGAAATAATTTGCATCATATTAGTATTCATTGTCCACCTACACAGGATGGGAAGTTTACTGAACAAAAAGGTTAAGTGTGTCGGTGCCAAGAAGGTTTGCCCGTTGCTCAGTCAGTCACAGCAATGAAAGCATCTCAGCTGTACCTGTTCCAGGAAATTACATCAAAAACCCCTGCACGCGCGGCTCAGGGGAGTCAGACCTGTTTCTTATGGTACATAAAGGTCAACTGAGATCACTGTGTGCATTATTTCATCTCAAGAAGAGTCCAAGTGCACCAAAACCAAAAATAAAGCTCAATGAAAGAAGGTAGCAGAAGGGAAGTTGCTGCAGGCTGCCTGATACGGCTTACTCGAGTCTGTCACTTCAGGTCAGCAGGGAAATGTCCTCCAGCAAATTGTTTACCGGGGGACTGGAAAAGCGATACAAGAGTTCTTTGTGGTGGTGCAGGAAGGCACGTGGTGCTCACGGTGCAGGACAGCTCTGTCCAGCCTGGGGGTCACAGAACCTGCTGGATTTGGGGTCATTGTAACGAGAGGCAGAAAAGGCTTAGTGTCAGAAGCAAGCCGTTTGCTGCAGAGCCATAACCTGCTTCAGTGGCAAACCATAGGCACTTACAGTTTGAAAAAGACCACAAAGCACTTATTTAGGTGTTTTCTTACAAGACGAAGTTTGTACAAGGTTTCTTCCTATAACATTTTATCTAATATTAGATAATACGTCTGATTAAAGACTGAGATTAGATTTCAAAGTGGAAAGCACCTTATGGTGCATTGTTTCACTGACGTTTTGAGGCAGTTCAGGACAACAGCACGTCACACACCAAAAAGCCTGTGTCTTCCAGGAAGATGTCTCACCCCTGATCATCTTTCTCCTCTGGCAGCTATTCTGGCAGCTTCTCCCTTGCCAGCTATTGCAGGAGGGATAGAATGGGATCTTAAGTCCTGTGTGAACTTGTGGTTGTCAAATGTCTGAGCAGAAATTCTACTCAAAGCTATTTTTTAAAGTATTAGTAACAAACCAAGCTTATGCAAACATCAGCCACGGTAGCTGCTGATGTGAAGACGTGGAAGAGCGGATCAAATCCAAGCTTACAACAGCAAACAGGTATCGGTAGGATAGAAACATCTGCCTGAATTTTGATGTCCTTGAACAACTCATTAAATCACATCATCCTACATATACACCTTGACAGGAGTCAGACAGCAGTAATGTCCTTGGAAATCAGGCAGTGGGCTCTGGGAGGAAGGAAGTAGCTGGTACATGCAGTAAATCAAATGCAAAGAAAAAAAGAAAAGGAAAATAAATTTGAAAAAAAATAAAAATCACAGTTCTGCTGCAGAATCATTCCATTCAGCCTGGCTACAAACACAGGCAGCTACAAACCGATCATTCATCTCCAACATAAACATAGATCTGGTTAGACTAGCAGTAACATAGGTTGAGATTTTTAGTAGATGACATAAATAAATGTATTTTTATATTTCCTGACCACATTAAGCTTGAAATCAGAGTTCTAAACTGCGAGCCACATACTATAAGACTTCTAATAGCCAATAAATTCCGAGAGTCACAGTGAAGCAATGTTTTCTCCTTAATGGTACATTTTGCTGTGGTGTATATAAATACAAGGGGACTTGTTTTTTTATGGATTTGAGATTTTATGTTGCTGAACATGACCATTCAAACAAGGTTAAAGTTCTTTTAGAAGGACAGCAAGATGGAAACCACTTCAGAAGGCACGATGTCAGGTTCCAAATATTATTTCTACATGGAAAGACATTAGTAAGAGATGGGGGAGGGCTGGGGAAAACTACTTTCTCCCCAGAAGGCACAATTCAGGAGAGCAAAAGCACAGCTAAAACATCCCAGCCCAACATCACCTCTGTGTTTCTCAGTTCCTATCCCACTCTTATACATTAAGAACGCATTGAGCTCTTACCCTGCCCAGTGCATCCACTCCCTATTTGTAAAGCAGGGATTACAGTGCCAGAATTCCTTTAGCTGGTGCCAAAGGAATGAATGAGTTCAGAGAGTTACCAGTAATACTTAGTGCTAAAATACTTAAACTCTAAAGGTCATTTTTCATCTCAAAGTCTTACAACACTATAAAGTGGAGATCACGATAACTGAACACAGCAGATGTAATAACTTTTGCAGATTCACCAAACGTGTCAGTAGCAAAATCAGAAGTGATTCTCAGGTTGGCCACAACCCTTAGAAGTTACCTTAAGCTTCCAGACCCATCAAAGATGACAGCTGATAACCAGTAGTCAGCTTTTAACAAGCAGCAGCAGCTTGCTGGATTACAAGGCTGCATTTCAGCATGGCATTGCTAAGCAAGCCCTGGCAGAAGAACAACACAACATTCCACGGACTTTGAAGGCAAGTCCCTCAATATGGGACAAAGTTGTTTAGCTTTTGGATCTACCACTTTCAGCAGATCTCTCACAAAGAGACATGTTCCCAGTGGGGGAGCAATAAAGACAGTCAGCGTGTACTGGCTCTACTGCCTGTTATTGACTGAAAGTTGTTGGAATAGCCAAGAAGAAAATATCTGAGCGCTGATGTCACTTCGATACAATTGCTTTGGAGGCTGTTCAGTTTTCCTTGGGGCGCCTATTCATTTTTAGAGACTCACTGATCTTTGTCTGATGGCTGAAGTTTTATGACCAGAAAGAAATGAAGATGGCAGCTAAGAGCTTCAGTTCACAATGAGAGAAATAATCCTTTTAAGGGAGAATTCCTCATTCCTAGCTCAGTTTAAGAACTAGCAGTTGGGACTGAGTAGATGGAATGTACCAGCAGAATAAATTTTAAAACACCACGTACTTTCAAATGCAAATTAGCTGTAGAATGACAAATAAGACAAAAATAATAATAACTTCCCCGCCCACCTACGTTAAGGTTGAAAAGTCAAGTATCTGCAGGCTGGAAACTCCAGAATTAAGGTTGCCTTGTGCAGTCCTAATTCATTTCTCCTGCGTGATACAATTAAAACATATTTCCCCCATGGCCTCACCCCTTCAGTGGGCAGGATGAACAGAGCTATTCAGGATTTCTTTTTTTTACCTTTTGGAATCAATGTGTGGCCTTGGTTTTATTTATAGCGTGCAGTTTAAACTCTGCACTGAATACAGGATTATTCATTTCCTGGTGGGTTTTAATACAACGCTTATCAAGAAGTCCTCGCTGCAAAAACAAACATCTCATGACAAAACCCCTGCCAACGAGGCAGGATGGGTCCCTTCAGCAGAAGAGCTTAATCAGAATCAGAGGACCCACAAGACTGTTTCGATTAGTATGAGATCATCTGAATGCAATATAGTGAATAATATATTCTTGTTTTTAGCAAACCCCATTTTCTGAGAGAGAGCTCCAAAACTTCCACTGCCACGAGTTCTGTGTTTGAGAAACCATGTGTTTCCTTTCAGGGTCATCCACAGCATTTCCAAACCTCATTTTCTGTGGTTTACAGCATTTCCTTCTAAGATCTCTCATCAAAAGACAAGCAGGGCCTAGTCTGGGGCTAAGCAATGAAAACTGCAGGGCTAGAATATAATTGTTCATAGCTTACATGAATTTGGAAATTCACTTTTAAATTTATAATTTAAAGAAAAATAAAATCAATCCCTGCTTTTATTTACATACTCTCTCATTTAGAAGTGTAATTGTAGGTTGATTATGTATATACACCTAAAACCAAAAAGCAATCATGTCTGCAACCAAAAATACTGGAACAACTCTGTAGGACTGGCTGAACAAAACAATACTCATGCTTTGAGTTGCTTTGTTTTGTTTTTCCAGCAGTTAATCATGCATCAGGAAAGTTTTAAATAAATAATTTGGAGGCTATATAATCACTCTTCTTGCAGACAAGACAACTCACACCCAACCTTTTGATCTGGATCTAAGCTACAAATCAAGTAACTCTTATTTAGAAGTCACCTCTACAGAAAAAAAAAAAAAAAGTTACTTCAAGTTCCATCAGTATGAAAACCTTCCAAGAAATACGAATTTCAAGTTCATGCAAGCCTGTAATCCCACCTGCACAACCTCTTTCAGATAAATCAGTTCATGATTCCCTGTGTCATACTGCTTGTTTTACATCACACTCTTAAAGAAAAGAGCAGATGTTAGAAATATTTAAGAAAAAAAAAATGACTTACTGATCTGACAGCCATCAGGATCTCTTTTGGTTCACACTGCTTATCTCAAGCTGTTCCTCAGTGAAACTCTCTTCAGAGAAGAGGATCTGACAGCTGAAAGAAAAATGCACAAAGCTTACAGTTTATACCCACAAGACTGGAAATTTGGCATGTCTGGAGGCTTTAGCATTATTATTATTACAAATACATTCTGGAATTTGTATTTTTGGCATAAGCAGAAGATTCGTTGTAGAGAATGTAGCTTTTTTTTGTTTTTAATGTGTTAAGTTAGCTTGGATTACTTCAAATTCAAGTATTTCAGCAATGACCACAAATAACATCCTTTTTTGATTTGATGTAGCAAAAAGAAAGCTAACAAACATGACTTTAGATATCACTTAGCTACAACTTTCAAAACATCACCTTTATTATCTTAGAACGCAGCAACCTGAAAAACTGGCCCTCCTACAACCCAAGCTTGGTCAAGACAGACTTGTTAGTTATAGTTTCCTTTAATGAAAAACTATTTTAAAGTCAAAAAAGTTTAAAAAAAAAATAATAATGATGATCTCAAACCAGAGCTCTTAGCGTCCTGTTGCTTTTTTAAGAAGAACGTGCTTAATTCAATATGTAAGTTGTCTGCCTGTGACATTCCCCCAGTTCAATGCAAGGCCTCTGATTTGTAAAGACAGAAGTTGATGCTACGCTCTCAATTGCCAGTGCATCCTCCCACCCACAACTACTCTTCAGCAGTGTCAGTTCTACACCTCCGATGTTGTAACAGCATCAGGGAGCTCCCACTGCAGACACAGGCCTTGCTAAATGCTGTATAAACACAGCCAGGAGATTTAAATTACCACATCCTCAAAGAGATTGATGGAACTATTTCGCTGTTCCAGCAGGAGGATCACAAGGCATTTCACAGTTAGGTCTCTCTGGAAGGAAGGCTGTATTTTCAGCTTTATTTTATGGATGGCTGAGTATAGCAGCACAACACAAGTTTACTTTCTCTCTGAAAGTGGACACACACTAAACTGAAAGCTTGCTGAGGTTCCATTTTTGCAGACATTATTACTAAAACTAACAGTACCACAGAGAACCATAGGTCTGATGCCAGCATCTAGTTCTAGTTTAGAAGCACCCATTTCCTCAGACTGACTGAGAGCCTGGAAATCATTTCTACCACCAGCCACCTGATGCTCTCAGCTGAGCCCAATGATTTGCTCACCCAGAGGAATGCACAGACACTTGCTAATACACTGGGAAACAGAAGTCAAGGTCATTTCATCCTTATGCCTCACGTGATGTAACATTTGCCATGGCTACTATACAATGCACAAATTGCAGAGTATAATCATCTTACTGCTAACATCTGGTCAAGTTTAAAACCGGAATCTTGTAAAGTTTGTAATTACATCTCCTTATGCTTTTCTGAGCTTTATTAATCTCAGCTTTTTTTTTTTTTTAACTTCAATGAGTACATTTTCTGATTCATAGCAATGTTTCAATTAATCATTTCCATTATTACCCCTTCCATTGCCTAAAAGAAAGAAAAACTAAAATTAAAAGCTCACTGAGTTTTAACCCTTTACATGACAAAGTGACGTAGGCTCTCAGAACCTCATCCAAGTGATGCTGTAATTCACTGGAGACTCTCCACTGACTTAGCTTTGGATCTGCCCCCAAAACAAGGGAGGCTGTGGTACAGCAAAGCCCTGGGGCAGATATTCCACTTTAAGCATGTATTAAAGCTCCATCGCCATCTCTCATTAATCCATCAAGGAGGGAGGAATTCAGTACGTTCTCCCAGCCTTGCAGAGCTCTGCAGGGTGTGCAGGGATCGGTGCCTGGCACTGCCCGGCCCGCCCGGCCCCATCCGTGCTGTGCAATGCTGCCTCTCGGTGGAGCTCAGCTAAAGGCTCAGCAAGGCTGTCAGCTGTTCTCTCCAAACCTGAACAGAAGCAGAACTAGGCTGTCTTTAGCTATTAAGGTGCCATTTCCTTGCAATTTCTGTCTGCCTGCTGCATGTGAAAAGGACTAATGTCATAATCTCCAGAGTATCACTGAAAGTAAAAGCTGCTGGTAGCTGGGCAGCCAGAAGCACAGAACCTGCATGTTTCATAAGCCAAGCTGAATATCCATAGAGAACAATTGCATGGTTTTGCTAATGAGCTAACTCAGCTAATTGGGTGATGAACTAATTCAACTTCTTACAAAACAATTCATGAACTCTTATTAATGATCAGTTATTCAGTGTTTGGAGACCTTCATTAATCACCACTATTCCTACTTGTTTTCTCTATTTATGTTATATGTGCAGGGTAAAGATAAACTTAAAAAAAAAAAATTAGCTGTGACTTTTTGTTCATAATCACAGTGATGGGAAAAACTCCAAAAGCATTCTCAGTGTTTTGTAGTTGTCAAGACACTTTATTTTCTCTCATTCCCAAGCTTCAGAAGCTTCCTCTTTGTGATTGCAAACAGATGAGGGTAGAACATGCAATTAAACTACAGCAAGTAAATTCCAATCAGTAGTGGCCTGCAGCAGCATCTCAGTGTTCACATCAGAAAGAGGCCAACTCTTAGTATGAAGCTGTCAGCAGGAAAAGATAAATTAAAATTGATTTTTAGAAGCAAATTCACTAACCTTCATTGCACCCAGGAAAATCTGTAACATCTGTCACTGATTTCCTACCAAGGCTGGGATTTTCAACCATCCACTGAATTTGAGCATTCAAAATCCGATATGCAACTTTGAATACACCAGTGCAAAATTGAATGAGTTCTTCCCATGGGAGAGAACAGCATTCCATAAAAGGGAGAAGTTCGTGCACCTCTCCATGTTCATCAAGCAATATTATTAAGAATATAATATTTTGGGGCTTTTGACAGGCTGAAAGAGCTGGGGCTCTGGGGGGACCTTATAGTGGCCCTCCAGTGCCTGAAGGGGACTTACAGGAAAGCTGGGGTGGGACTTTTTCTAAGGGTATGTAGCAACAGGACAAGGAGAAATGGTTTTAAACTGGAAACAGGCCTTTAAAATTTGAGGGTTCTGTACAACTGCAGCAGATTCTGCAGATTTACATCTTCCTGCCCAATCCTTACAGTCCTTCACAAAACAGAGATGGTAGATTCTCACATATATTAAGTTTTTCAGAAATGATCCCAGTAAAACCAGTGCTTAGTCGTAACAGTTATTCAGTCACCAACGGGCACAAAATACAACAGTGTTAGTTTTCATGCTAGTGTAGGAACTGCTAAATAAATATGGTGTAAGTTTAAGAGTTACCTATCCTGGTCTCATTTCAGGGATCGCATTTCAAACCCAAGATCTTCCAAAAAAAAGATGGTGCCTCTCTGCAGACTGTGATGGTTCCAGGCAGTGCTACCACCACACTGCATCCCAGATGTCCTGGAAGTGGTGGAGTGGTGCTGAGCCTCCTGGCACTCCGTCGGGATGCAGGCTTGCCACCAGTTCAGGTCAGCAGGCAGAACGAGAAGCTGGAGAAAAAGCACATAGCAATGTGAGGTACACCAAGCTTAACCAGGTAAAGGGCAGAGCAAATATGAGCATGTCATTCTGGCTAAAAGCTTTTACATAGAAATAAAAATTGTTCTAGATGTGGAAAAGTTGGCAATCTTTATTCTGAAGTTAATGAGGAAGCCTGGCGTGCATGTGTGTCTATCTGTATGTACGTAGCTGAGTTCAAAACCAGGCATTTAGCAAAAAAGCCTGGTCATCAGCTCTTGATCATTTCACACAGGCAATAAAATGCATCTCCCACATTTCCAAGCACTCCTTTCTGTCCTTTGAATGCATTCAATCCTAAGAAACGGTTCTGAACATCTCATCTAACAACTGTTTCTCCAACTGCTTCAAATCAAAGCTACGTGATTGATTGTAAAGTAAGACATCCTCATTTAAATTACTTCCAATTTTCTATTTTTCTCTGAAAACCAAGTCCAGGCCACTGGTACAGTTGAGTGATGGACAAAAACTTTCCAAAACCAGCTAATATAATGTAACGAAAGTCATTTTGTAACACAGAAAAAATATGAGTACAGTTATACAAGCATTCCTGTTCCAAGAACCATTGTAAGTGGGTTTTGTTTTGATTTTGAAAAATCTCCAGTATTCCAGAGTAGCTGAGTAGACCACACACTGGAAAATGACATGTTTTTCTGGTCACTCTGTAATAAAAAGCATTTTTCTCTGAGAGACAGAATAGGCCTTTTCAAGGTTGGAGAGGGAGTGCAATTGCAAGAATGAAATATCAGGAGTGAGGGTTACAGTTACAGTTGTATGAGGATAATTTGGTCTGGTTGTCTGAACAGCTGTCAGGGAATTATGAACAGCTTCTACTTTATCATCTGGATGCACAAGACCTTAGGGCTAACAGCAAAATCAAAGAGCAGTTCAGTGGTACCCACTGGTTCAGGTGTCTCTGGGCTGCTGAGAAGTTTTGCAACGTGAAGTGTAGCACAGAAGAAAATCAACTATGAGAGTAAGGATCAACTGGGTTCAGATAGAGGGGTTTTTGCAAAGCTTGGTGTGATCTGGTTACACAGTAGGTCTGCAACCAGATAATACATAATTACCTGCATCATTAAAAGGTGAGACCTTGCTCCAGGCTGCAGGCAATAAACTGCAGATAAGCCTGAGCTGAGCGTCAGCCATGACTTTCTGGTGGCTTCACAACACCCTGTGGTAAGCCAATTGCATAACCTGCTTTCCAGGTTATTTTACTGCAGTCATAGGGCAATTTTGGACAGCCTCCATGAGTACATTTTTTTAACATTCTTTTTACTCACCAATAAAACAAAATAAAACATTTTATAGCCTTGATGTGTTTCTGGCACATTTTAAAACTGCTGCTAATAAAAGTTTTCCAAGATGAAACAAGGAAAAAATGACCAAGCTGTAGCAATATAAATATCTCATGACTTTTTTTTTTCTTTTCTTTTTTTTTGTAAAGTTGGGCTTTAATTCAGGAAGCTGGGAGAGAGCATCACAGAATAAGATTGTGGTAAGAGAAAACTCATGTAAGCCCAGCTCACAAAGTGGAATAGGGCTCTGTTCGTAGCAGCCACTACTAAATGTAGTTTGAAAGAATCATAGTTTCATGCACATTAAAAGCTTGCTCTTCTGACCACTGAAGGTGGTTACAATTTGCCAAGTGACTTCAGTGACACGTGAGCACACCCTAAAGAAGCAAACTGACTTGTATGCACTGCTCTGTGCAGGGAGGCAGCAGACTGGGCTCAGCTCTGCTAGCTCTCCTAGCTCTGATAGATGCTCCCTGGGTGATTTCTGCCCAATCTCCCTCAGGGCCTCCTCACCTGTTAAGAAGGGTGATCTGTCTCTGTCAGATCTCAGAACTGTAACTATCTGTCTCCTGGCACGCCAGAGTCTTAATTTTTGGCATGGCTTTATGTGTAAATGTGATATAATGAGAAATGAATAATGCACAGCGTTAATAAGCCTAACTCCAGCATCACGCAATGCTGCAATGACTTGTACACACTGCCCTGCCCACCTTCTGCAGGGGAGAACGCCTGCCAAATACATGGCAAGTACTGAAGGTGCCTAAAGCACCAAGCCCTCCTGCAGCAGGCTGACTTATACACACAGTGCTGCTCCTCATGAGCATTGTCACTCCCAGAGCACGTTAGCTGGCTGGTTTTCAAGCAACACCTTGAGCACGGTCCATCCTAACCAGGAACAAGTGCATCAAGTGACCTGCACGGATGAACAAGGGGCTCCTGACAAAATGCCCCCTGCGGTTCAAATGTGCTTTTCACTTCTGCCATCGGAGGCAGTGTAACATCTACAATGGTACGTATTATTTATTCCAGGCTACCAGAAAATGCTTTCAAAGCTGATTCTCATTCGTGAAACTGACCACCAGAGGGCGCCAGTACTGCTTAAAAAGCGCAAAGCAAAGTGAATGAAGCGGAATTCGCTCAGCCTGTATGGCTTCAAAGGCCTCGGGAAGGTTCCGGGTCATGAGTCACCCACGCACAGAAAGCCCCAGGGTCGGGCAGCTGCATGGGTGCAGCAGGCAAAAATCACCCAACTCCTGAGAGCGGCTTCCTCTACACATCACTTTTCTTACAGAACCCATTTCCTTAGGGTGGATGGGTAAAGGCTCACACATCCCGTGTTAATGCTGCTTTCTAGGTATGAAAGCATTTCCCAGGTGGCTAAGTAAGGAAAAGGAGGCACAGAAGCCTGATTTACTCGCTGACACATAGCAACAGAGGACAATCATGGAGGAGCACTGCGTAATCACTGCTGGACTAAAACCACAAACAGAACTGACTGGCAGAGCTGCGTTCTAGCAAAAGCAGAGGTGCATCAATTACTTTTTCATATGTGAAGTTAGTATGAAAGACTGGTGGGCAGCCAAACGTTTAAGTTGTAACTCAAGTCTTTTTACCTCCAGGGTTTTTATGGAGAGCTGGAAGTTCTGCATACCAGACTGAAGGGTCCTGGGACAAAGATGGGAAAGGACCAAGGATCTGGGATGCTTTTACTCATGTGAAAGGGAAAGTGTTCAGAGATGAAACAGAAGACAGCATGTGATGCTACCACAAAGTGAAGGTATCACCAAGGGGGAACTGTCCCTTTAGAAACGTTCTAGAGCTATTTCATGTGTCATCTACTCCTACTTTACTATTGAAGATATGGATATTTGTGCTATTATTATTTTTTCTTCTTCAGATTTCCTACATTCAGAGCTATTTAAGACAGACGAATAACTGAAGAGTTATTCTGCCTGGATATGAGATACACTGATTTCATAGGATGACATTCCGTTACTGAAGAAGCTTAAAGTTAATCATTATCTGCTCTCTGTCCCATGGGCTTGGATTATGCCCACTGGCATCAGAAGCAAGCACAACTTCGCCGTATTCTTACTGGTTAACAGACAGTTCACCTCAGAGAAAGCCACGTCTGTTTAGCATTACTGTCATACAGATTTGCTTCTCTGCCTGCAGAATGGAGTCCAACAACTACACATGCATTACATGTACCCATTAATGTACCCATTACTGCAGTGTAGTTCTCCAGATAAAATTTTTATATTTCTGTTTTCAGTTATTTGGAAAACAGCCCAGGTAATTCCTTCTCTGTGTGTTTAATCGGCAGAACAATGGAATGCGAAAGGAATACAGAAATGACACCATGAACAGCCTTCTGGAGAGCAGTATTATCCCCACTGTGAGCCTCTACCACTGCCATCTGCCACAGGCCAGAAAAACTGGACAAATGTCTCAAGTAAATGTTTCTGATAGGACGTGTTCCCACATCTAAGGACTACATCGCATTACAAAAATGTTTAAAGACGCCTGCATGCTTTTAATGTGTGCTTATAATCATTTTCTATTCATTTGCTTTTAAAATACATTGCTGTATTACTTACATTTCAGCAGCTCCAGAGATAAAAAGTCTTTGTTAGTAAGAAAACGAACTTCAGATAACACTATTGATTCTTTATATTCTTATTTTTGAAGGTTCTCCAAGAAAAGTATGATGGCTGGCAAAATACAAGAATGATCAATTATTTTTAATGATTATGCCAATCTATGCTTTGAGAAGTTTGAGACTGTGTGAAACATGGGATTACTTTTAGTAACCTGTGGGTATGTTATCAATGCTCTCCTTACTGCAGTTGCATGGTTCTGCTCACAAAACTCTACAGAAGGGACACCACAGGAAAGTACATTGAGAATTGCAGGTGGAATTAAAGGTGAATAGATAGATAGATACAGTTCTCTGCAGTCAATGACTGTGCCCCAAAATCTCAGTAGCCAGTTCCAGCCAAGACACTATTTCAGGACACATGAAATTCCAGTGAAGTTCTGAAAAACCATCAGCTGGAGGAAAGATAGGCACAAAAGCCAGAAAGGCAGTCAAAATGCAAGGAGGACATTACATGGTGGAACAGCACCAGCAGGTGAGTTTGCTATGGCCGGTCAGCAACACGCTGCTTCCAACAAGCTGCAGCCAAGCAGCATGAGAGCAGCCAGAAGCCAAGGGGAGGAGAAAGAAAAAGGGGCCTGGAGAGGACAGAGAGATTAAGAGACGACTCCTGCATGGACTCAATCCATATTAGGATTTAGGATATTAGCAAACTTGTTAGCTCTGCTTTTCAAATAACTAATTCTGTGTACATCTGCACAGTTCCTGAAAAAGGTTACAAAACAGGAGAACATGCACCAGGACTGAAGCTTGGTGGAAGTAGAGCATAGAATGCAGCACACCATGTAACTAAAGTAAAATTTAAATTGAATTTTAAATTATGTGAAATGAGAATTTTTAGCAGACTGATTAAACTTTTCATCCTGCTCTTTAAACAGAAACACAGCTTTGTAACCATGCCAGTTCCAACTGGCACATCAAATTTATTCAGTAGCTGAGGCAAACTGATTTCAGACCACTAGTGCATATTCAGGGATCGCATGCAATGAGAGATGCTTGACATAACCCTCT